TTCAACTTGGGAAAGGCACACATTCAGACAGAGACAGAACTCTTGTTTAGTTGACTTAGTCAATCACCATGAGAGTCACACTGGATCTGGAAAGTGAAGTTTTCCTTGGAGTGCAGCAAAATGTGCACAGTCAACAAGGCCTGGCGCCATGGGTGACAAGCTGGTTCATGTCCACTGGGAAGAACAGTCCTCTTAACCTGTCCCTTATTTAGTCATGGCTCCTGTTAGACAGCCTTTTCAAGATGCTTTGCACCTGTGATGCTTCCTGCCCAACTTGGGATTCACACTGCCCTGAACAAGGATCCCCAGCCCTCAGCTCTCATAGTGGGAGGTGTGTATAAGCTCCTTTTCACTCTTCCTCTCTTTCCCCGAGTCTATCCTGCCTTACACTTTGGGTTTTTGTTCTTTCAGATTTATTTTTCTCTACTTTTTTTTGTCAATTTAGTACACCTCCCTTCTTTCCTTTCTTTCTTTCTTTCTTTCTGGTTCAATACTTCTCTGGATCTTCATAAGTATTCTTACAATTTTTTCATTTTCAATTTTTATTCTGTATTTTATTGTATGATGGTTGCCTGAATGTATGTCTGTGCACCACATGGGTGAAATACCCCAGAAAAAGACGCCAGATTCCCTAGAATTGGTGTTACAGAAAATTATGAGTCTCTGTGTGGTGTTGGGAATCAAAGCCAGGCTCCCTGGAAGACCAGCCAGTGCTCTCAACCCCTGAGACATCTCAAGCCCCCATTTTTCCTTCTGTTAACACTCCTTCATCTGACCTAGTCAATGATTCCATCTCAGGAGAATATGGAACTTCTATGACCTTTTAGAATTCTAAAATCACTGGAGGAATCTTGTATCTTACAAAATTTTGTACATTTCTCTTAAAGGCTCATATTGGCTTAGGTAGTCATAGTGCAACCTTTTAACAAGAGTCTGCAGTTTGCCAGATGCTGTATACAACATTTCCCCTGGGTGCTTTGTCTTTCCTCCTGGACCACAGCAAAGTCTCACAGAGGAGAGTTAGCATAGTCTCTGCCTTGGCTTTACTTTTCCTGTACATTTATTTCTGTTGTTAGCTATGGAACTGCTTTTATTTATTCAACTCTTTCATTTTAGATTTCGTCTTACATTTCCTTTTGCATATGAAGCCATCATTTCTTAATGTCTTTTATCTAGTTTACACACACATTTCTATAACAGATACAGCGCATTTTAATAATGGATTTTTTTTCATTATGTGATTGCCAAGATATGCATTTATTTTTAACATGCTGGGAATCAGGAGGTGTATGCATGTATGTGACTTGTGATCCCTTGTTCATGTGTGTGTACAGGATAGACACTGACATTATGTGTTTTCCTCTACCTCCTCCTAATTTTTTGAGACAGGATCTCTCACTCAACCTGGAGTGCATCAGTAGGCTAGATTAGCTGCTCACAGGGCTTTGAGGATCCACCTCTCACCAACCTATCCAGCTCACCACACTCAACCTTTACATTGATGCTTTGTGTCTGAACTCACTTTCCAATAGTTAGAGTCATCTATCCAGTCTTATTATATTACTTTATAACACAGTGTTATAGACACAGAATTTTGTCTAAAAGACAACCAGACCATTAATGATGATCCCTTCTTTCATGTTGGTTATTAGGTCACATTTACTACTTAATTCATCCGTGCCTGATGGCAAATGATTTCTTCTTTATGGAAACTGTGTGCTGTTTTGTTACACTGGCCCTATCGGTTCACATCTTAATTTTTTAAGATGTTCTTTTTATGTAATTTATTTAATTTTATTTATTGCCCATTCATGTTTTTCCTGCATTCAATGTCTGAGTGAGTGTCAGATCCCCTGGATATGGAGTTTCAGACAGTTATGAGTTGCTATGTAAGTGCTGGAATTGAACCTGGGTCCTCTGGAAGAGCAACCTGTGCTCTATACTGCTGAGCCATCTCTCCAGGCCATTTAGCTCAATTTTTTATATCACATTTTCTCTTTTGTCTTTTGACTTCATTAAATGCAAGAAATATTTGTTAACATTTCCCATCAAAGTGGGCATGCTGACACACACCTTCATTTCCAGCACTTGGAAAGCATAGGCAGGGAAATCTCTGGGAGTTCAAGGCCAGCCTAGTCTACAGAGTGAGTTCCGGGACAGTCAGGTCTACACAGAGAAACCCTGTCTCAGGAAAGAAAAAAGTTCCCATCATATTTCTTGTGACTGTTTGGTCTCCTATAATTTTCTAAGCTTGATTATGTATAGATGATATTAACTCTATTTTATTCTCAAATTGAAGTTTTATGCTGCTGCAAAAGTTGGGTTGTTTGGATGCAGTAATCGTGTTCCCTTAACATTTCTTTTGAGAAGTATAGCTTATTTAAGGTGAAAATTTTCAGTTAATTAGTTTTAAATTTTCTTCCATTTCTTTTAAATATTGCATCTTCCTTAATTACACTTGTATCTCATATACAGTATACACAATGCTGAAAAAATCTAATTTTTCTGATGTTCCTGTAGCACTCCAGCTGTGGGCTGATCATCACTTGCACAGGGATATTTTTCCTCTCCATTGTGCTTGATGTATTTGCACTGCTGTAAAAGGGTGAATCTTTAACACGCAGCCAGAATGTGGAATTTTTTCATTCTTTCTCCAACATGCTAGCATGCTGACAGTTTCATTCACAGAAAGAAAAAAAAGAAGATTTCCAACTTTGCTCTCAGTAGAATTCAAATCGCCAGAGCTAAATATTATTTGTCTTCTGTATTTTATGGTCTGTAGATGTGATGGAATTAAGATTATCACTTTAATTTTTCATTACTTACATATATTTTATATAACGAGATAGTTCACTGCTCTGTTTTTTTAACTGCATATGTACCTTTGATGTGGTTTACATTTTTATTGTAATTTTAATGATTTTGGAGGATGTAACACAAGTATACAATTAAGTATAGTAATATTTATTTGAAATTCACATATTTTTATATA